GAAACATCAATGATGAGAGAGATCATGATCAGCTGCTTCCTGCACACCCCTACTGGGGATCCAGCCCACAACCCAGGCATGTGCCCTCACCGGGAATGGAACCATGACTTCCTGGTTCACAGGTCAAGACTCGGCCACTAAGCCACACTGGTCAGGTAGAGCTTTAACTTATATACCATAAAATTCACCTTTTTAAAATGTTAATCCTCACCCAAGGATATTTTTTCCATTGGTTTTTCGAGAGAGTGGAAGGGAGGGTGGGAAGGGGGAAGAGAGAAAGAGAGAGAGAGATAGGAGAAACATTGATGAGAGAGAGACACATATATTGGTTGCTTCCTGCATACGCCCTGATGGGGACTGAGGATTGAACCTCCACCCCAGGCATGTGCCCTTGACCAGTAAACAAACCCAGGCACCGTCCATTCCCCCATTTCTCCATTACCTAGTAAACACTAAAACACTAGCTGCTAGGGCTTATCTGCCTTTTTTGTAATAGTCATCTGAGTGGGTGCGAAGTGGCCTCTAGTAGTTTTGGATTGCATTTGATGTTGAACATCTTTTCATGTGCTTATTGGCCATTTGTATGTCTTCTTTGGAGAAATGTCTATTTAGATGATTGGACCACATTTTTGGGGGTTATTTGTCTGTGGTAGCTTTTAAATTAAAAAAGAAAGAAAGAAACCTCAGACATATACGAAAGTATAAAAAGTAAGGTAAATACTTATGTACCACTAGCATGTACCATCTATGAGAAATGGATCCTTTGCCAGCACAGTTGCACTCCTACCTAATTAGCTTACTCCCTTCCCTGACATAAGCATTGTCCTCAATTTGGCATTTTTCTTCATACATTTATAGACTTTTAAGATATATATGTACATCCTCCAATAATATGTCATATTATTTTTAATATTTTAAAACTTTATATAAATGAAAGGTACTGTATGAATTCTTCTTTAGTTTGCTTTCTTTATTCATCTTTATGTTTATTAGATTCATTAATGTGGATTTACATAGTTCTATTCATTTTCAGTGCTGTTTAGTATTCCATTGTATGGCTGTACTATGTGGTGATGTTTTAAAAACTATTAGTGGATTTATATTTGCATTTGTATAAAGGCCAAACAACTGTTTTTTCTTAATGTAGTAAGATTTAATCCTGGAAAGTAATTTATTTGAAAACTTCAATAAAATATAATTTACCATCAGATGTTTATTTTCACTAAAAATATATTTTCTAGGTTTCCTCCCTCTTTTTAATATTAAAAATCTAGAAAACAAGAACCAAATGTTGCATCCCCATTTTGAATTATAGTTTTTCTCTAGACCCATACATGTGAATGAAATGAATCCTTGTATACCCTTTGATAATTTGACATAGATTATTGCTTTACTAAATTTGGGGAGGAATGGAAATACATCCACTATAGGAAGAATTCCTCAATACTTCACTCTTTGTTCTTTCATTTTGAATTTAGGACCAAGTTTTGTAAAGTTCCATTAAAAAGAAACTTGGGATTTTGTTTAGGATTGCATCAAGTTTACAAAATAATTTAGAGAGAATTGGTGTTTTTACACTATTGAATCTAACAATCCTTTTATTTAGTTCTTCTTTTATGTCCCTCAATAAAATTTAATAATTTTCTTTTTAAAGATTAAACACATCTTTTATTTGGATTTTTATTGCTTGAGCACATTAAAACTTTAATATGGAATTTCATTTAGAATTTTTATGTAAATGAGATGACTGTATAATTTTCTTGAGTTGCTTTGGTGTTTTGGTATCAAAAAGTTATGCTAGCCCATTAAGTGAGTTGGCAGCTTTCTATCTTTCTGTTTTCTAAAATAATTGATATTTTGGATTTCTAGAAAATTCTAAATGTGTTTTTCAGCTTGCAAGCAATACTTTGAAAAATATCCAGGAGACCATGAACTCCTTTGGGAAGTTGAAGGTGTTGGACACTGGTACCAGAGAATACCTGTCACCAGAGCATTACAGAGAGAAACACTTAAAATTACAGGTAAGAATGTTTTAGTTTGAACACATGTCCCACTTAAAAATAGCAGTGCCTGATGGTGATGGTGCCCTATACTCCAGAGCAGTGGTGTGCTGTGATGTGATCTCTCTAGTAACAGACCCTCTTTCCTAAAGTATGATTTTTTGTTATGTATTAATATTAACATTTGAGTCACTAAGAATAGCCCAGCAGAATGTAATAATTGGTGTGTACGAAATAAACAGAGATACTGAAACAGTATAGAATAGGCATCAGGAAATCAAAGATAGTCCACAGTCTCATGTATCTCTCCTCAAAGTCCAAAATACAGATGATTATTTAAGACTCTTTATAATTGAAAGGTTTTATTATAAGACTAGAGGCCTGGTGCACAGATTTGTGCACTGATGAGGGGTGTGGCCTGCAGGGATCAGCCCGCTGTGGGAGCACCACTCATCCCGGTCAGACAAGCGGCACTCCCACTGTGGGAGTGCATTGACCATCAAGGGGCAGTTCCTGCATTGAGTGTCTGCCCCCTGGTGGTCAGTGCGCACCATAGTAACTGGTTGACCAGTCATTCTGGTCATTCTGCCGTTTGATTGCTGGGCTTTTATATATATACTAGAGCACTTGTGGGGGGGGGGGGGGGGCGTCCCTCAGCCCGGCCTGTGCCCTCTTGCAGTCTGAGACCCTCGGGGGATGACCACCTGCTAGCTTAGGCCTGCTCCCCAGGGGATTGGGCCTAAGCTGGCAATCAGACGTCCCTCTGGCAGCCCGGCAGCCCTCGGGGAATGTCCACTTGCCAGCGGGGAGCAGACCTAAGCTGCATTCGGACATCCTTAGCGCTGCTGAGGAGGCTGGAGACACTCCCACCACCACCGCTGTACTGGCAGCCATCAGCCTGGCTTGTGGTTGAGCAGAGCTCCCCCACATGGGAGCGCACTGACCACCAGAGGGCAGCTCCTGCATTGAGCATCTGCCCCCTGGTGGTCAATGTGTGTCATAGTGACCAGTCATTCCCAGTCTTTCTGCTTTTAGGGTCAGTTTGCATATTACCCTTTTACTATATAGGATAGAGGCCTGGTGCATGGGTGGGGACCAGCTGGTTTGCCCTGAAAGGTGTCCCAGATCAGGGTGGAGGTCCCGCTTGGGTGCCTGGCCCACCTGGGTGAGGGGCTGATGGCTGTTTGCAGCTGGTCACACCCCCTTCAGGGTGGGGGTCCCCACTAGGGTGCCTGGCCAGCCTGGATGAGGGGCTGATGGCTGTTTTCAGACTGACCAAGCCCCCTTTAGGGTGGGGGTCCCCACTGGGGTGCCTGGCCAGTCTGGGTGAGGGGCTGAGGGCCGTTTTCAGGCTGGCCGGCTACTGAAGCTCCCAGCCTCTCCTTTTTTTTTTTTTCCTTTTTTTATTCTGAGATTTATTTACCTTCTATAATTGAAACTTTGTTGCTGTCACTGGAGCTGAGAGCTCCGTGGCTACGGCCTGCTGAAAGCAGGTATCTGGGATTTGTTTAGCTTCTATAATTGAAACGTTGTTGCTTTCGGAGCTCAGAGCTGGGCCGTGGCAGGCAGGGAACCTTGGCTTCCTCCTTCACTGGAGCAAGCAAGCCTTCTGTTCGCTTCAGCTGCCTGGCTGCTGGCAGTTAATTTGCATATCTCCCTGATTAGCCAATGGGAAGCGTAGCGAAGGTACGGTCAATTACCCTTTTTGTCTTTTATTAGATAGGATAGATAGGGGTGAAGGGGATATCCTACACCTAGATTTTCAATACCCTTCTATTCATGCTGCTCTGTAGGGCTTTTATGAAAGTCAGAACAATGTTATTAAAACCGAATACTGATTGGGTTACAATTTGTAAAATTCTTCTACACACAGCAGTTCCTCCAAGTGAAGCTAAAAGAACTACGTGTGGAGGATATGGTCTTGCATCTGTTCCAGAATATGAAGCAGGAACTGAAGATAGTCAGTCTAGTGAGATGCAGCTAACTGTAGGTACACTGTATATTTATTGTAGGAAATAATTTTTGTTTCTTTAAAATAGATTCAGTGAATATTTAAATTTTTAAATGTTATTGTTCATTCAACAGACTTATGTAATTTCTACTGTATTTGTTTTCTGGTATCTTTTAATTGGTTACTAAGGACTTAATTTTCTTTGAAAAATAATTTGGAATTCACATAAAATAATATAGAAGAAAATGAAAATCTGTAATCCCACTTCTCCAGAGATAGCAACTGTTAATATCTTGCATATAATATACATGTATCTGCATACATTTTATTTTTGTTTTCTTTTATGCTAATTCTAACTGCTTTTCTCACTAACAACATTTTTTTGGAGGCTACAAGGGTGCATAACATAACATGTTAAGCATTTTTCATGGCATTACTATTTTTCTACTGTTTTTAAATATGATTGTTAAACAGCAGCACACTAGCCTATCATATGTAAACTAGAGCCTGGATGCACGAAACTTGTGCAAGGGGCTCAGCCCTCACAGCCAAGGCGGCTTGCCTCAGCCCTCGCAGCCCTGGTTTTGTCTGGAAGGTCATTTGGAAGGACGTCCGGAAGGTCATTTGGTTGTCCGGTACAATTAGCATATTATGCTTTTATTATTATAGATGCCATCATTTATTTCCTTAACATACTAAGTTTTACATTTATGATGTAACTAGAGGCCTGGTGCATGACATTCACACACTGCCGGAGGGAAGTCCCTCAGCCTGGCCTGCACCCTCTTCGCAGTCCAGGACCCCTCGGGGGATGTCAGCCTGCCAGCTTAGGGGCAGTCAGACATCACCCTACGGGTCCTTAGTGCTGCCATGGAGGCAGGAGAGGTGCCTGCCACCGCTGCTGCGTTTGCCAGCCATGACCCTGGCTTATGGTTGAGCAGCGCTCCCCCTGTGGGAGTGCACTAACCACCTTCAGGGTGGGGGTCCCCACTGGGGTGCCTGGCCAGTCTGGGTGAGGGGCTGAGGGCTGTTTTCAGGCTGGTGGGTGACTGAAGCTCCCAACCGCTCCTTTTTTTCTTTTTTATTTATTCTGGGCCAAGGCCTCTGCTGCTGAAAGCAGGTATCTGGTTTGTTTCGGTTCTATAATCGAAACACTGTATCATCTCCAGCTCTGAGATCCCGGCCGGCTGAAAGCTGGTTTCTGGGGTTTTTTTTAGCTTCTATATTTGTTACAATGTTTCAAACTGCCAGCTCAGAGGCCGGCAAGGCAGGAGGGGAACGTTGGAGTCCTCCTTCACTGAAGCAAGCAAGCCTCATGTTCGCTTCCAGCTGCCTGGCTGCCAGCCGCCATCTTGGCTGGCAGTTAATTTGCATATCGCCCTGATTAGCCAATGGGAAGGGTAGCGGTCGTACACTAATTACCATGTTTCTCTTTTATTAGATAGGATGTATACATTTGTACATGCATCATTGTGCATATGTTATTATTTTCTTGTACAGATAGGTTTCTAGAAGTGGAATAAGTAGTAGGCCAAAGGTTATGAAGTTATTGTGGGAACTGTGAGGCTAAGTTTCAATAAGTGTATGCTAGGCCTTTGTAGAATGAAATGCACTTTGCAAATACTAGGTAACCTGAAATTAGATGGGCAATTCCCATTACTGTGGCTTTCTACTTTCCTAGAATTTACTTGATATTAGTTAAAATATGGGTCCATCGATGGGATTCTAGAAGTCTGTTTTATGTAGTGTTTTTTTTGTGGTGGCGCTTATTACAGTTATATTTGTTTTGTACACGGTATCTGATATATCTTTTGTGAGTGTTGAGTTTGCCTATGTAAAGTCAGGTGCATTTCAGAGACACATGCTTTGGGGAATTATTTGTTCCTCTTATTTCCTGTTTTAATTAGCATAAGTGAAGAATTTCAAAGTGTTTTTAAGGATAATATAAATAATAACTATATATAAAGAATTAGAGTTTTTAAATTTTTTTCTACATTTGGAACTTCAGACTTTAGAATAAGCCCCAATTCTATTACATTGCAGTCTAAATTCCTCAGTTATACTCAGATTCACTTAGTTTTGGTCAGATATCATGAAACCAGGAAAAGTAGAAAAATCTAATATTCCCATATATGCAGTGATATTAATTATTTATTTTAATATTAAGCAAATAATTTTCAATGTGTCACTTAGTGAGAATATATTAAAATTACACTAAGTCAAGGTTGGCAGCATAAATTAGATTTTTTTATTTTAGAACTTCATATTCTTTATAGTAATAGTTTAATAATTCAAGGAGAATATTTCTCATATTAAGCTATTTATTACATCTCTCTTTTTATCAGTAACCACATGGATAAGTAGTTTTATTTGTTTGTTTTTACTACATGATGTATTTTTTAGCTTTATTGAGGTGGTATTGACAAATAATTAAATCTTTAGGGTGTCCAACTTTGTTTTGATATACATATACATTGTGAAATGATTATCACTACATGATTTATTCTTTAGATGATGGTATTTCTATTTTCTTTTTCCTATTTTTGGACAGAAAACATTACATGTACTTCACTTTTTGTACCTTTTATTTATTCATCTTTATGTCTTAACCTTGTCTAGTTGAACTATAGGATTCTCGAACACAGGATCTTTATCTTATCCATCACAATTGTTCCCTTGTGTGTGTCCTATAAACACACCTTGAAGTGTAGGTGCCTATAATATTGTCGAGTTTTGATAACTGTGTGACTGGATAGCAGTTTATATAGTAAAGTGGGTACCTTGGCAAGTGCTGGGCATACAAAGTATGGGTCCGTTAAGCCTGGTAAAAGCAGGTGGTCCATTATTAGAACAGATAAGTGGACAATTACACTATAGGATAATAATGGCCTTAATAGAGCATACATACTGCAAGTGATTGCAGGTACATAAAAGAGAATGTATCACTAACTCTATGCAGGGACTGGAATTGGTGAAGTAGAGTTGAGATGACCTTTAAAAGGTGTGTGGGAGTTCTGTGCCAAATGTTGCTAGGGCATTCCAAGGGATGGCATGTATGAAAACACAGAGGCATGAAAGAAAATGGCATGTTTGGTATGGAAGAGCATTTGGTATTGGAGAAGTTCGGAGTTTGTATTTCAGGTAGCGATAAACTATTACATTTTATTTTTTGTAATGCAAAGGAGTAGCACAATTTACAGGTGGGAAGCACCACTGTCATCAGGGTGGAGAGGATTACGGGGCGTGTGGCTAGAGTGAGGGATGCCAGCCAAGAGGCTATTAGAACAGTTCATGGTGAAGATGCGAAAGGCCTGAACTAAAGCATTGGCAATACAAAGGAGGGGGCAGTTTTGAGAGATTCTTAAAGTCAGAATTGACAGGCTTTGTGGTTGATTGAATGAGGGATAGGAAGAAGTATTACTGTCTCACAGCCATTCTGATTAGACTGAATTATTACTGTCACTTAACCAAGATAGGGAATACTATTGGGAAAAGATTATTAAAATGATATTGTTCAGTTTGAGAAGGTTGGATGTGAAATTAGATGGGACATCCACTGGGGAGATATCTTATTAGAAATAGAGCTTTGGAAGTTGGGGGAATTAACTTGTATAGATATTGAAGTGAAGGTAGTAGATAAAATGACAAACGGAAAGCATGGATTGAAAAGAGAAGGTAGCTGAAGACAATACTGGAAACTCCAGTGCTTACCACTATGACATGAGATGGCTTGATAAGTTCTTAGGCTCATAATAAACTGGGCTGTAACATAGCCTTTTTATTTCTTACGTAAGTTTTAATTGAATAGTGAGTACAAAAAGTGCTATTTGAAAATGTTTTAAAGATTTTCTTTGACACTGAATAAAGTGGATCCACAGGGAGAAAAAATAATCTACAACATTTGGTTTTAATCTGTATTTCTATTTTAGATTGATTCTCTAAAAGATGCCTTTGCAAGCACTTCTGAAGGTAAGAAATTCAGCCGATCTATTAGAAAGTGTTTGAGACACTTAGAATTAGGGGTGTGTGTGTGTGTGTGTGTGTGTGTGTGTGTGTGTGTGTGTGTGTGTTCCTTAGAGCAAGTGGAGACTTACCCAGCTCTAACGTCTACTTCTGGGTCTAATGCCACCACTTCCACTGATTTTGCTGTGTGAACAGAGTGAGCTATAGTACCTCTCTTCCTCATTTTCTTACCTGTAAAATACAGACAGTAACATCTGCCTTGTTTATTTCCCAAGATTAAACAAACCCCATTTCTATTATATTGCAGTCCAAATTCCCCAGTCATACTCAGATTCATTTAGTTTTGGTCAGATATCATGAAACCAGGAAAAGTAGAAAAATCTAATCTTCCCACATAGGCAGTGCAACTAATGTTTTATTTTAATATTAAGCCAAATAATTTTCCATGTATCATGTAGGGAGAATATATTAAAATTACACTATGTCATAAGGTTGGCAGAGATTATTGGGAGAGAATATAAATGAAAATGCAAAAACACTTTGTAAAACTCAAGATAGCATGGAAATGTGAGAAATGAGTATTAACAAAGTCTGATATGAGAGAAAGGTAGTGTGTAATGGTGGGGATATATGTAAACTAGCATAGTTCTTGCATGGCTGCTGTTTTTTTCTTAGGTCATGATAAAACACCAGTTTCCACTCGGACTCGAAGTAGTCATCTGAAGCGGCCAAAGATTGGAAAGCGGTTTCAGGATTCTGAATTTAGTGGTTCTCAAGGGGAAGATGAAAAGATAGCTGAGACTTCACCTACAGCTTCCGTAATTAAGTAAAGTATTGTTTATTTTACCCTCATTATTTTGTTTATTCTTATTTGTGTATTATTAATATTTAGTATTATTATATTGTTCATGTAGCAAATGACCTTGGTATAGGAGTTTGTATTTGAATTTTTCTACAAGATAATTGTTTACACTTACCAGTGGTGTCACTTTGACAATGTTATAGGGAGAATTTGCTAGTAAGAGAGTGGGATAAACTCATAATTTAATCTCATAGGCATGAAAATCCAGGAGAATATTCTATTGATTATCCCAAATGTGTCATTATCACCAACTTTGAATTTGACAGTAGCTGTAATTTTTAGTAATGCTTGGGTGTGGTTAATTTTAAAAACCCTCAGTTTACATTATAACGGATTCATTTCACTGGGGTATTGGATATAACATAAATTAGTGATAACTGTAAATGGTGCAGTCAACTCCTCTTAATCAACAGAACACTTGGGTCAAAACTTTTCCTCTATCTTCCTTTGAAGCTTAAGAAAACAAGATTTTTAATTTTATATTTAAACTACACTTCTGCCCTACTAGTCCTACCAACTGTTCCTGAATCAACCATTCATAGTTTTGCCATTTTAGCTGTGAAATTATTTTACTCAGGTAGAGAATTTTGTGTCTGTACTAATTTCCTTATGTAAATAATTTTTCATTTGTGTAATTGCATCAGTATGTAAATATTTTATTTTTGTAAAAAATTCATGTTAAAGGCGATATAAATAGATATTTAAATCTAGTAATTTGTGAAAAGAATAATAAGAGTTTAGATAATTATGGTTTTCTCATGGAGCCACATTTTGATGTAATATCCTTTTTAGAAGGAAATGTAACAATGTATTTTAAATTGAACATCTCAGAATGATGTGGAATTCAGTTTGCTTTTCATAAACAGAACAGTAACAGTGAGGCTATATGCTTGAATGCTTACTCAGACACTACAAAGAACGTAATTTTATCTTTGCCCTTGAAGAATGCCTGGTGGTTTCTAATACATGTATCTGTCTGTGGCTCAGCTTAAGAGCACTGCAAGGTAGATTGTGATGGGTAATAATAGAAGTGCAGACGCTGTGATGCAGAGGAGAGCGTGACTGCCTCTAATGGAGGGGATGGAGACGTTTGGTATTTGGGCTAGGGCTTCAGAGATAAGTGGTAACTAAACAAGCAGAGTTGGGAGAAGATTTCTAGTCCAAGGGTTCACAAACTGTGGTCCGTAGGTCAATTCTGGCCCACTACCCAATATAAATAAAATGTTATTGTAACACATCCATGCTCATTAGTTTACAGGTTTATTATGATTGCTTTTGAGTTAAGTGGCAGAGTTGAGTAGTTATTCAGGGATCATAAGTCCCACAAAACATAAAGGAAAGTTTGCTGAGCCTGGCTCTATGCCATGGATGTCCAGAGAGCTTCCCGTAATGAAGGAAATGTCCTGTGTCTGCCCGTCCAGGATGGCAGCCACTACCCATGTGCCATCCGAGCACTTGAAGTGTGGTTGGTGCAGCTGAGGAACTGAATTTTGTATTTCATTTACGTTTAATAACAAATAGAAACACATGTCTTACGGCTACTATATTGCATGTGCAGAACTAGACTACAGGAATAACATGAACAAAGGCACAAAACGAAGAGGACTGTTGATACGGATATATAAGGTAAATGGTAGTGTAACTGAAACCAAGTTTCAACTGCCTGCTGCCACAGAAGCCAAACTCATCAGATAGATGCTGGTGAAAAGGAAAGAGGTTTATTCAAGTGCTGGCATCTGAGAAGATAGGGGATTCTTTGTCAAAAGCCCATCTCAACACCTCAGTGCAGACCGAGGTTTTTATAAGGAGGAACAGGGAAAGTAGAACAAAGAAATCACAGTGAGGGAGTTGAGTAGTTCTGTACATGCAGGCCAGCACAGTCCATTCCAATATGAATCTCGAAACTGGTGAAGTGATGGTCTGGTGTGCGTCATCCTGGTTCTATGGTTAAAGATTAGCAAGTTTCCCAGAACTGGGATGACTGAAGGGCAGAGTCTGCTTCGTCTGAAGTTAGTTCCTAGGATTCTTATATAAACATGCTCTTCATCTACAAGCTACATATTAGTCAGAATCAGCATTTACAGAAACAGTGTCAAAAAGAATGGTGGGGTGGGTTACAATTTCTCACTGTTACAGTAGTATCTAGTAGGAGGTAAGAATATAAGGGTCTGGTCTTGTTAGGCTTTAAAGGGAGATATCCCTTATTCTCTAAGCCATAGAGAACTATCAGAGTTTTCTGAGTGGGGCTGTCACAGGTACAGATATGTATATGAGAAACACAGCTTTGGAAAACTTTCTAAAGAATAAATATTAAGATGAATTGGGTGCCCTTGTTGGTGTGGCTACGTTGGTTGAGTGTTGTCCTGAGCTCTGAAAAGTTGCCGGTTCGATTCCCAGTCAGGGCACATGCCCAGGTTGTGAGTTCAATCCTGGTTGAGGTGTGAATGAGAGGCAACTGATAGATGTTTCTTTCACATCACTATTTTCCCCAACTCTTTGTCTGTCTGTCTGTCTGTCTATCTATCTATCTATCTATCTATCAATCATCTGTCTATCTAGAAAAGATGAATTGGGAAGAAGTTACTGTGAGAATTCTCCAGAGAGAATTGGGGCCTGAAAATGGTAATAGTAAGTTAGGGATATGTTTGAAAGGCATTTTGGAGGTAGAACTAAACCGTATCATTTATGGTCCAAATTGATTTTTTTTGAGAAAGAAAGGGGCTTTATAATATGCCAATGCTGGGATAAAAGCTTTAAACTGTACGGTCCCAGGTATACTAGGATGTATGTTTACTTTAATAGAATAAGATATTATCAGATATGAATAGAGTAAAGGAAAGGTCTCATTTACATGTTTGAAAATATAGTGATGATATTAATTGAACTGGAGAACAAGGTAGGAAAGAACAAATTTATAGGATGAAGAGATTGGTCTTGGACCTGTAAAATTTGAAATTGTTGACTGAACAACACTTAGTTGATTCTCTAAAGTGTTACTTTATTAACAGATTCCTGAAATTCATATTCATCCTTAAGAAAACATGTAAGAATTTTGTTTTGTTTTTAGATTGGAGTCTACTTCACACACATCAGAGAGCTCAGAAGAATTACTAGAAGAAGAGCATGCACAGAGTGTGGTTGAATTTGAGGATGGAAGTAGTGATAAAGATGCTCATTCAACACCTAAAATCCAGTCACATCTGGAGAAGCAAGATGGTGAAAAGGTAGGAGATCACTATTTATTCCATAAATAAAATGAATGGAAGTAAATGAAACTTTAACTTTCTTAATCTACCTTATAGAACCAGTTAGAATACTTTAAGGTCCAACAGGTCTTCAATTGCAATCCTAATTTGGTTAGGAGGATATGAATGAGTTTCCCAGAAAAAATATATATATATATTTGACTGCAAATTCCTGCTAAAATAACTAAATTCATTTTTTTTTTAAATATATTTTATTGATTTTTTACAGAGAGGAAGGGAGAGAGATAGAGAGCCAGAAACATCGATGAGAGAGAAATATCGACCAGCTGCCTCCTGCACATCTCCCACTGGGGATGTGCCCACAACCCAGGTACATGCCCCTGACCGGAATCGAACCCGGGACCCTTCAGTCCGCAGGCCGACGCTCCATCCACTGAGCCAAACCGGTTTCGGCTAAATTCATTTTTTAAACACCAGAAAACATACAGGAAAATCCTCTGTGGCTAAGTAAACTATCTCACTTGATTTCTTCAGCTCCTCAAATATTTATCCGTATCTTCTTTTTTCTTCTCTATTAATTTCTTGTTCTTCTTTTTCTTAAATAACTTTAATCTTCTCCTCTCTACAGATTCCTTATTTCTTCTTTCATATGTGCTGAAGTTTCTTTAAAAATCTTTTACCTGCTTGCTTCATCCAGCCAGCAGCTAAACAAGTGAAACTACATTACCAATTTTATTTTCTTAATTTACACCAATTTAGCTTCCCTCTATTTCTTGAAATTCTGTTTTTAAATAACTTTTTTTCTTGTAGAAAATTTGGAAAACAAAGTACGTATTTTAAAAGGAGACTTATGGGTTGCTTCCATATCATGGCTCTTGTAAATAATGCTGCAATGAACATAGGGGTGCATGTATCAAATCAATGTTTCGGGTTTCTTCAGATACATTCCAAGAAGTGGGATTGCTGGGTCATAAGGCAATTCCATTTTTAATTTTTTGTTTTGTTAATCCTCACCTGAGGATATTTTTCCATTGATTTTTAGAGAGTGGAAGGAAGGGGGAGAGACAGAGAAAGAGAAACATTGAAGTTACAGAGACACGTGGATTGGTTGCCTCTCGCAAGTGCCCTGACCAGGGCTGGGGATCGAGTCTGCAACTGAGGTACGTGCCTTGACCAGAATCAAACCCATGACCCTTCAGACTGTGGGCCAACATTCTATCCATGGAGCCAAACTGCCTAGGGCCCATTTTTAATTTTTTGAAGAACCTCCACGCTGTTTTGCATAGTGGTTGCACCAGTCTGCATTCCCACCAATAGTGCAGAAGGTTCCTTTTTCTCCACGTCCTCTCTAACACTTGTTGTTTATTGATTTATTGATAACTTTTTTGATAGGTGTGAGGTGGTATGTCATTGTGGTTTTGATTTGCATTTCTCTGATGATTAGTGATGTTAAGCATTTTTTCATGTATCTATCGGCCTGTATGTCCTCTTTGGAAAAGTGTCTAGTCAGGTCTTTTGCTCACTTTTTAATTGGGTTATTTGCTTTTCTGGTGTTGAGTTATCTGTGTTCTTTATAAGTTTTGGATATTAACCACTTATCAGATATATCATTGTCAAATAACTTCTCCCATTCAGTAGGTTGTCTTTTTGTTTTCTTGATGGTTTCCCTTACTGTGCAAAACCTTTTTAATTCAATGTAGTCCCATTTATTTTTTTCTCTTGTTTCCCTTACCCAAGAAGATATTTCAGAAAACATATTGCTAAGAGAAATGTGCGATATTTTACTGTCTATGTTTTCTTATAGCAGTTTTATGGTTTTGGGTCTTACATTTCAGTTTTTAATCCATTTTGAGTTTATTCTTTTTTTTTTTTACATTTTTTCACTTAGGCAATGGTCACATTTTTAAAAAAAATATATTTTATTGACTTTTTACAGAGAGGAAGTGAGAAGGATAGACAGTTAGAAACATCGAAGAGAGAGAAACATTTATCAGCTGCCTCCTGCATACCCCCCAATGGGGAAGTGCCCACAACCAAGGTATATGCCCTGGACCAGAATCGAACCTGGGACCCGTCAGTCCGCAGGCTGATGCTCTATCCACTGAGCCAAACTGGTTAGGGCTCGAGTTTATTCTTATACTAGTGCCTCGTGCACAATAAAAGGGGATTAATTAGAGGAAATATTTCAATAATGCTATTTGCCCTTTCTCTATAATAGAAGTGTCAGAGATGAAAGAAAATTAGTAAAATGTATATGAAAATCTTCTCAGAGTCTGGGGCGCACCATGGGACTCAGAGTCAAGTCCCCGCCCACCCACGTGCGCCTCAAAATCGTGCGAGACCCAGACCCGGCTGGGCACCGTCCCCCCCAATTGGGCTAGATCCAGACCCAGCCGGTCCCACCCTTGTCAAGCCCCGCCGGGCAGGGGGCACAGCCTCATGTCCCCTGGGGCGGGGGGCACGGCCTGAGGTCCCCCAGCCCAGGTCGGGGAGGGGGGCACACCTTGAGGTCCTCTGTCAAGCCCCGCCAGGTGGGGGACATGGCCTGCGATCCCCTGTAAAGCCCCACTGGGCGGGGGGCGCAGCCTCAGATCCCTTGTCACCCCCGCTGGGCGGGGGGTGCAGCCTGAGGTCCCCCGGCCTGGCGCCGGGGTGGGGGGTGTAGCCTGGGGTCCCCTGGCCAAGCACCGGGGCGGGGGGTGTACCTTGAGGTCCTCCATCAAGCTCTGCCGGCGGGGGGCATGGCCTCAGGTCCCCTGTCCCAGGGCGGGGGGCAAGGCCTGAGGTCCCCTGTCAAGCCCTGCTGGGTGGGGAGCGTGGCCTGAGGTCCCCTGTCAAGCACCACAGGGGCAGGGGGGCAACGGAGCCTTAGGTCCCTGCTGATTGCTCGTTAAGGCTCATTACGGGAACTCAGCCTCCGCTGTGGGCACAGCCATCTTGTGTTACGGGACCCCCACCCTCCCCCCGCCTCCACTGTGGGCGCCGCAATCATTGTGGTGGAGTGACGGTCAATTTGCATATTCCTTCTTTATTATATAGGCTATGGTTAAGAAGGTGGTCTAGCAACCCCAGTACCCATCAATACATGAGTGGATAAAAAAAGCTGTGAGATATATATACACACACACACACAATAGAATACTATTCAGCCGTAAAAAAGAACAAAATTTTACTTTTTGTGACAGCACGGATGGACCTAGATGGTATTGTGCTAAGTGAAATAAGTCAGACAGAGAAAGATAAATATCATATAATTGCATTTATATGCAGAACCTAATGAACAAAATAAACAAAATTAAAACAGAGAACAGACTGACAGTTGTCAGAGGAGAGGGCGGTGAGGGGGCTGGGTGAAAAAAGTGATGGGGTCAAACTGTACAAATTGGCCGGCTGGCTCCTCTGAGAAGCCCTGCATGGGAGCGGGCGTGGGGGTCCCCGAGGCAGGGGGGCGCTCGGTGCGGAGAGTGCAGGAGGCGGAGTGACCCCCAGAGACTGCGGCCCCGGGGAATGGGTGGGTAGAGGGTGCCCGGGGAGTAGGGTCGGGTCGGTGGGCTGCGGCGGGCCCAGAGGTCTGAGCCCGGAGCAGAGCCTGCACCTTCCGCCACCCGCCCTTCGGGGACTATCAGAACTGAGCCAAGAGGCAGGTGCACCGGGCAGATGGGTCTGAGTCCTGTTTGACAGAAGATAAACTGAGTCAGTAGCTCAGGAGCCGCAGGGTCAGTGGGCCCGAGGGCGCTGGGTCCGCCTGTGGCGCGGAGGGTGGGGTGGGCCTGTGTGCGGAGGTGGCCTCTGTCTGGAGATGGGTTTCTCTTCTGTGTCCGCGCCTCTTGGCTCGGGTCCCCTGTGCTCCATGACTCCGGCATCTCCTGGCTTCTTCGCGTTGGTTTGGGATGGTTCCTGTGCCTGGAGCCACCTGAGTGTGCAAGGCCGAGGCCAAGGAGGAAGGGGAGGGGGTGCTGACTGTGGGTCTCAATAGGAGTCTGAGGTTTTGGGGAGACCTTCCTGAGCTATCTTCACCCCAGTCCTGGTGCCAGTCATTTTTCCAGTGTAATGGGGAGGGGGGGGCGGGGGGAGCGCTAAATTCCATGTCCAGCTCTGCTGTTTGCCAGTTGTAAGACCTTGGGAAATCTCTTCCTTCTCTAATTTCTCTTTTAGGAGATTGGAACCCACAAAGATAGCAATAATGGTGGTCCTTTATTTTGTGCTTACTTTGTGTCAAGCACTGATGTGTTCCACTTAATTCTCCCGATAGATACAAAAACTGAAGCTCAAAAAGGACATATAATTTTGTTCAAGATTACACAGCTAATAGGTGTCAGAGGTTGGATTTCATCCCAAGTCTGACTCCCTTAAGCCATGGGTCTTAACCAGCATGCTAGCCAGCCCTTAGGGTGCACTC